CTCTTTTTGTTTGCTAGTCCTCCCTTTCCATATCAAAGAGTGTAGTAATAAAAGGCGGTAGTGCAGTGAAAGTAGGAAATATGGTCATGATGCGCATATGGGTTACACATCATACAAACCTGAAGTGACGTTGGCATATTTGCATAGCCAGCTTTCTGAAAATGACTGTAAAAACTTTTGATTCCAGATTCAAGGACTCAAGCATGGGGCACTGCTTGAAGCTCTTCTGCAACCATTTTTCCACAGCACTGATTCCTATTTTATCAAATAAAATCTAGGAAAATAAAATCTTTGCAATTTGTCACTCAACTGATTGAACTACAAAGTGTTCACAACCCAGTAAAAATGTTCATGACAGGTTAATATAAATCTGAACCTTTGTCCTTTAATTAAGGCAAGTTGGGTGCAAGTGCATCGTGTAAGTACATTTTGCTACATACGTTTAATAGAACACTACGAGTCATTCTGCTCTTTCAAAATTACTTTTTTTTTTTTATTATTAAAAAAGTATTTTAACTCATGCATTGTTGCTGCTGGGACACAGGTAATTTTAGCGACGAAAATCTAATAAATTGCACTCCCCAAGAAAACATTTTCATGTACATTTCCAATATGGTTCAGGGTGAACTGCAAACATTTTTCAAGAGAAATAAACATAAAGACAAGAGCATTAAATTGATTATTTAACAAGAAAAGGCATGTTCACACCTCTCTTGATCACCTTTCAGGTGAAGCAGTTTTTTTCTTTTTGCCCTGAGTATAACCTGCTTTAGAAAAAAAAAAGCTCAACCAGTGATAGATGCATATGATACATTATTGAATAGTGTCATTTATTTAACCTTTACAGTTGAGCTCATGAAAAATGATGTCAATTACTGATTTTCTCTGAGGCAATGTAGTAAGTGGTTGGGCCCTGAGGTCATTTGTTGGGGCATGACATGGTGCTTTCTGGGAGGTTGGAGGGAGCGCTGTACCTTCGTCATCACAACGTTTGCTCTTTGGCTTCTGGGCTGAGTCAATTAGTAAATTAGGTAGTGAACTGATTTGCTCTCTTCCACCAGAGTCTGTTTCTTTTTTAATTAAATCAATCAAGCTATTACTCAATCAGTCCAAATTGAGTTGCTCTCATATTCTTTTTCATATGTGACTTCGGTGCATATGGAAACTGCTGTCGTCTTAATCCTGGTCTAGTTTCTTCATACTTTTACAAGGATTTCTTAGCAACCACACATTTCTTTGACCTTTGCTCCTCTGAAGTAGTACGTTGTATGTGAAGTATATATTCACCAGGTATATATACTTCACCAGGTGAAGTATTTATTCACCAGGGAACAAAGATTTATGGGAATAAAACTGTGTTTTATGTTTTAGCAACTAAATTATCATCCGTCCATTCATCCTACTGAAGTTTTGAATACAACATTCAATATATTTCTTTGAGAAAAATAATACACTTGTTTTCAACTGTGGCATGCATTTGTATCCAGCCATTGTTACTCCTACACCTTTAAAAAAATCTGTGTAACCATTTGCCTCTCGACGTCTCTAAATAATTAAATGGAGTCTACTTGTGTATTATTCAACCGCTGTGTAAATCCAGCTGTCTTGTGAAGGCTCAGAGGTTTTTTTTTTTAAAGAGAAGATTAGTGTATAAAAAGCGTCTGGTTGGCAAAGAACACAGCCGACCGGTCAGGGATGCAGTCGTTTTAAAGATTAAAGCACGGCGTGTTAGTCAATTCAAAAATACTTTATTTATCCCAAAGGGGAAATTGAATATTAAATTAAAATAAAATATAAAAATTAAACAAAATATACTTGTTATAAGACAAGTTTTGAGCATCTCATGTAGCATTGTTCCATCAATCCTCCTATAACAGAGTAACAGTCACAACCTACAAAGACATGGCTGTCCATCTAAGCTGACAGAAAGGGCAAGGAGAACATAGATTAGAAAAGCAGCCAAGAGGCCCATGGTACCTCTGGAGGAGCTGCAGAGTTCAAGAGCCCAAGTGCGAAGTTCTGAGGTCAGAGCAACAGAGAAGTTATTCACTTCAATAAAATCCATCGCCAAGCTGTGGAAAAAGTGATCTGGTCAGATGAGACCAAAATAACATTTTATCCTACTTCAAAGTGTTGAACCACAATTGATTGTCTCCCTGAATATACTGTCTATACTGTGATGGATGGTGGTGGCAGCATTATGCTATGGAAATACTATTATTCAGCAGAAACAGAGAATTTGGTCAGAATCAATGGGAAGATGGATGAAGCTAATCATGGAAACTGGCAAAAAAAAACCTTCTGAAAGCCATAAAAGAGTTAGAATTATGTTCACCTTCCATGTCTTAGTCAAATCCAGACCTAAATTTAACTCAGAATCCGTATCAAGGTTTGAAGTAATGCTAAGCATAATATTGCATATTTTATTTAAACAAATTGGTAACTAGTACATTTTAAATCTGAGTGTCTGAAAATGTGCTGTCCTTCACACTCATCTTGAGTACCATTCATCAACCGGTACAGTTCTGACCCCTCAACCCCTCCCACCTCCGGTCTGCATTATCTACGCTGCATGGAGAAGATTGATACTCCTTGAGGCTGATGGAAAAAAAGAGAATGAATCTGAATTTAATATGACTTTGATGTATTATTTTCATCTTGGCCAGTGCCACAGGCCCGCTGAGAACCCTTAACACCATCCTGCTGCATTTTAAACTGTTCACACTGGCAAAAACTTTTTTGATTTAAGAGACCAGAGACAGGACTGTATACATTAACTTCCACAACCCTGAGTGTTCTGCTCTTATTCAAATAATTTCATGGTAAAGAACCAACCTTCAGTAGTGAGGACACAGTGGATATTAGTATTAAAACATGAGATATTGTATTTAAAACATGAGAGAGCTGTCACAATTAGATTGCTCTTTTGGGTTTTGCCAAATCTCATTCTGCATACCTTCATCAATTACTGGATGGATAGATAGATAGATAGATAGATAGATAGATAGATAGATAGATAGATAGATAGATAGATAGATAGATAGATAGATAGATAGATAGATAGATAGATAGATAGATAGATAGATAGATAGATAGATAGATAGATAGACAGACAGACAGACAGACAGACAGACAGACAGACAGACAGACAGACAGACAGACAGACAGACAGACAGACAGACAGACAGACAGACAGACAGACAGACAGACAGACAGACAGACAGACAGACAGACAGACAGACAGACAGACAGATAGATAGATAGATAGATAGATAGATAGATAGATAGATAGATAGATAGATAGATAGATGTTTCAGTTTAGATGTTCATTTTCATACCTAGAATCAGGAGCTTAACTGAAGTCCTCAGCAGCTTTTGTCTTGCAACTTTTTCGTGCATCCCCTGCATCAAATAGCTGAATTACATCCTCAGCATTCTGCAGAGGCCTGTTAATGAGCCTTTTATTTGATTCAGGTGTGCTGGACCAGGGACGTATCAAAAAATGCATATCTGTTTCTTTCAAGGACTTGAGTTAGAAACTGTTTCAGATTAAACCAATAATCCAAATGTGACAAAGTTGTGACATATCTAGATCAAATTAAAAATATTAAAAATATCTGTTTTGAAATTGCCTTTGTTCAAAGTAACATTTTAGGTTTTGAAACAATTCTTGCCTTGAGTCAAAATTAAAAAAGTCACAATTCTCTTGGATCACTTTAAGTCATTAAATTAGGTTACCACATGTTCTGACTAATGGAAAAGGAATTCAAAATGGAAGAATTTGTGATGTAAAAATTTGTGGATTGAACTTGTTTATATTTAAAATTAGCTTATGTTGGGGGGAATAACTGATAAGTTGCTACGTCCTCCATCACAGACACCAGAAGGGGCGCTGCAACCCTGCAGCATTCAAACACCAATTGTTGCACACATCGCCCTCTGCTTTCAGTCCCGTAACTTAGTTCACATTACTTGATGATTTATTTCCTTGAATTTACTAATGCATATGTCAGCTTTTTAAAAGCGCTGTTTCCATTTCCGACATTGTCCGGATTTCTACAGCAGCAATAAGTCAACCATTTTTATAATAAGGAAAATACTGATGTATCGATCAGGGGCAGCATTGTAATAACTGTAAATGATCCTTTCTAATCTGTAACAACAAATAAAAGTAGAGGGACTTGCCTTACATGACGAGGTCACTTGACTGTCTCATTGCTGGTTCAGAGCAGCTCAAGCAGAGAAAAGGATGGAAATGTCTGCAATTTGAAACCTTGTTAGGAATTTATGAAGTGCTAAAATGCTTTCTCCCCTGAGAGCCAAGCCAGCTGCTAGTGCCACTTTGAGCCGTTTAGTGCAGCGCCTCGTCACCAGGCTGAGATGGCAAGCGTGATGCACACAGTCACTGTGCTTTTGCCTGAAATGCAAACAAACTCAGCCTTTCATGTCTGCTTGCCGAGCTTTTTCATTTAAAATCAAACAGCTGTAGATTTCTGTAAAGTTAATTGGCCCAACATTGACATTTATTTCCCTATGTTCCTCCAGAGAATAGTTTTGCATGAAGTGAAAGAACATGGATGGATGGATTTAGTAGCATTCACTTTACTCTGATGCAGGCCTAAATTGAAACTTTTATATGAACAAGAAAATTGTTCATAAGTTAATTCATAACTCATAATTGTTTGTTGTTAATTTAATGATCCAAACTTCCAAAGAATGAAATCCTGACTGTGAAGAGACTAACATGCAGTCAATGATTTTGAAGAATACTCAAAAAACGTCTAATTTTTAATTATTTATGTATCCAAATTGAAAACGCTTCGAATTTTTGGGATTGTATCTTCTTTTGGTTTGGTGCTTTTAAACTTGCTATTATGGGAAATAAAACCAAGATATAACCCATGTAAACAGAAATATAAATAATAAACTTGACAAAAAATACTTTATCCATAGAAGGGGTTAAAAAGAGTCTGTTTATTTTTGTGTTTTGTCTCTTCCAGTTTTCGGTGAAGATCTGCATTCCAGCCTATACTTTGTCAATGCATCTCTGCAAGAGGTAGTATTTGCCAGCACAACGGGGACTTCGGTTCCCTGTCCTGCTGGGGGAGCGCCGCCCGCGTCGCTGCGGTGGTATTTGGCTACCGGGGAGGAGATCTATGATGTCCCGGGCATTCGCCATGTCCATCCTAATGGAACTCTTCAAATCTTCAACTTCCTGCCATCCAGCTTCAGCAAGCTGATCCATGACAACACATATTACTGCACTGCCGAGAATCCTTCTGGCAAGATCAGGAGCCAGGATGTCCACATCAAAGCTGGTGAGTCTGCTGAGGAGACATGACAGAGGGCAGTTTTCATAAAGGTAGGGTAAATGAAGCAGTGATAACAAAGAGAGTAGAAACCGCAGACTTTATGCATACATTAAATCTACCGATTATAGTTGCTGCTTTACTTGCTTTACTCATAGTAAATTAGTAATTAGTTGAAAAAAAAAAACGGTATACGGCCAAGATTTTGCAGTAGTCTGAAGAGAGATTTTCATTATCTGCAAATTTTTTGCTTTTCATCATATTAATTAAAGCTGCAATATGTAACTTTTATTTAAAAAAGTTTTTTCTGCCATTAATACATTGAAGACATGAAAGCTCATAGACAAACATGATTCACGGATTCCTCCTGTCTCTGGTTGGTTGTTTCTGACTGAGAGTGATGCATTTCTGCAGATGGAAATAGAAGCTTATATTTTAATGTATATATTTTTTAAAATATTGCTGCTTTAAAGGTTAATTTGACTTAAATATATTCATTTGTTAATCGTGCTACCCCAGATAAAAAAAATTGTGAATTTGTCCAATTAGGATAGACATTTGCTTTCCAGATCTCCCCAAATGATAGTGGTCAAACTACCCAACATCACCGGATGGTAAAAGGACCTTCTCTTTTTGAAGAAAGCATGGCTTACATCTTGTTCCTCAAAGTAAAACTAAAACTACACATGTAAATAAGTCCTTTTTTTAAACAGGGCCAACATGGAATTATATTTTTACATCTGCAATAAGTTACATTCCTTTTCTAAAATTGTTAAAGAAGGTTGTAATTTTTATCCTCAACTACTTCCTTCCAACTTGACAGTTTTGGACCTTTAGGCAAAAACATCAGCTTTAGTTCATTTACTCAGCTTTACTCAGTGGAATCACTTTTATAAAGGGAAAGTTGTACACCATGAGTAGCCTTTTTGAAATTTCTTTGGCCAATTTAAACATAGGCGATGATGTCACATGTATGACCTCTTTACAGACATTAACAGGTCAAATGAAAATCCGGTTCATTCCAACTCAACCATGACCATTTAATTCAGTCACAATCAATGCTTAAGTACTTATAAAGCTATTGCTTTGCTAAGAAGGATAAATGATTACGCAAGATCTTTAATAATGCAGCATTATCGTAGCATACTGAAAAAGGTCTTTAATGATCAATAAGTTGACATGTTTTTATATTTTTTCTCGTTCATTAGTTTCACGGGAACCCTACACAGTCAGAGTGGCTGACCAGAAGGCTATGCGAGGCAGTGTGGCCGTCTTCAAGTGCATTATCCCCGCTTCTGTGGAGGCCTATGTCTCCGTCGTATCATGGGAAAAAGACACAGTTTCACTCAGCTCAGGTATGACAAGTTATACTTCTGCAGCTGCATGCAAACTGCCTGAGGTGACAGGAAGAAAAAAGTTGATTGTGATCTGCAAAATCTCAAAGTATAAAATAAATGAAATGGATGTAAAGTCCTGTAAATTTTGTAGGGAGTTTAACATAAAACTGGGCAAAATGTAAACTGCTATATGTGGCATTAATGTTTGACAAAGGAATAGCTGACTTCTCTCTTATTGGTCTCTACTATTAGAGCAATATTTACTGGAAGTCATCTTCTTACCTGGTTGTTGTTGTTGCTGTGTGCTGGGGCTCTGCAGGCTCTGCAGCTCAGTCTCTACACTAGCCAGAGGATGTTGATAACTGTCAGATTGAATCACTGGCTTTCTCTCTCCTGTACACACTCCCCTCTCAGCCAACTCCATTTTGACTCCAGCAAGGGGGTAAAGTGGCTCAATTTACATAGCGTTACATTACATTGACCTAGTTACCTTCCTTGCTTGAATCCAGCAAAACAGCATGATAACACAGAGCACCAGAACATTCAGCTGGTTGAATTTTGACTCATCTTAAATGGGATGCATATCTCTTTGATTGCTCCATGTGCTGCCCGCTGGCTGATTCCTCCTCCATACTGAGGCGTTCAGGGACCTGTAAGCGAGCCCTTAATGTCATTTGACTGAGGGCAGAATCTGGGACAACATTTTGGAGGCATTTTAAATGCGTCTGCTCAGGCATGAAGATGTGTCTTCTGATCCATGCTGCAGACTTATTTACTTGAGGTTTCCCCAGCTGTTCGCAGAAAACTGCAGGTTGAAGACAACGCCTGATGTCACGGAGATTGAGCAAATATGGAGCATGCAGATATGATTATGCTCTGCAAATGAAATCAATTGTGTAGACAAGGTTTTCATGTTGTGCTCAGGTGGAAAAAAACTGTCCAATGTCAAGGTTTAGCATACAAAACTGCATTTCAGTTCTATAAAGACAATGAGAGTTTGTTGTTAAAAATTAGTCCTTGCGAAAGTATTCATATCCCCTTTTTGTCTTGAAACCACAAACTTTTGTGTTTTATTGGATTTTCTTTAAGAGAGCACACACTAAGAAGTGCCAAATTCTGAAGCGGAAAAGAAATATATAGAAATTTAAAATTGGTTATGTCTAGCCCTCTTCAAATTGATTTTTACAAACCACATTTCAGACATTAATATGTATAAGAAGATACTGTGGAAAGATGAGACCAATTTGCCTTCATGCAAAATGCTATAAATGAAGGAAAACGAACACTGTGCATCACCCTTGACTCATCATCCCCACAGTTCAGGGAAACATGGATGGAGCTAAATAAAGCCGTTATAATCTGCTTTATAAAAAAGTCTGTTATAATCTTGAGATTATTACAGGCTTGAGATTGGAATGCAGGTTCACTTTGCAACATGTCAACAACCCTAAACACACCTCTAATGCTAGAACTTGACATCTGATGACATCTGACATCTGATGCTCACAAATGCTTGCAATCCAGTCTAACTGCGTCAAAACCTATTTTGCGAAGACAAATAGGCAAAATATTAACTGTATGTGTAAAACTTGTAGAAATGCAACCTGAAATATTTGTGACTGCTATTGGTATGAAGTTTGCATCTACAAAGCATTGACTTGGAATGGCTAACTACTTGTATAATTTTATTCTCGACTTCAGGGTTATGCTGTACTTTGTGTTGAATGTGGCTGCCATAAAATCCCCAAATAAACACAAAGAAGACTGTTTCTTTCATTTGTTACCAATTAAATCAGCCCCTCTAATGATGTATCTTTTCAAATGAATTTGAAAAGATAACACAGTAGGCTTCATTAAAAAATGAATTTTTTAATGAAGCCTACTGTATTCCTCCAGCATGTTTTATTTTTATTTTTTATTTATTTGCAAGTGTACAAGAGAACAACAATATTGGATTGTCCGTGTTTACTCCAATAAGCGCCGCAGCAGGCGAGTGCTGTCAAAAGCATGAGCACACGGTCAAAATCACTGCTGCTTGGTGATAAATATTTGATGGGAGATTCTGATGCATGAGCGGATTCACCTCGCACTGTTATGGAGAGGGTATGTTGACTCAAGGAGTGTGGGTGTGTGTCGGCGTGTGCGTGTGTGTGCAAGCAAAGAACTAGGGAGAGACACATCATGAAGAAACTTGACAATGGTAGCAGCCTGCAATTTGACCCATCCTAGTTTTCTGACTTTTTAAAGCCTCTTTTTTCTTTTCATAAAAGAAGATTCAGTCTCAGTGGAAACAAAATAAAGCTATCCCACAGATGCACTAAATTATTAATCTGGGTTTTTTGTTGGGAATAGTAGCGTCAAGTGCACTCCTCTACCCTTGCATTGTTCATCAAAATAAGAGCAAAAACAGGTCTGGAGACGTTGCTCAAATAAAAGGACAATGAGAGCAGATACTATAAAACAACTAGCCCTTAGGTCACCACTGCATTATTATTATGAGCTGTAAATGTGTATTTGTGTAAAGTCTGTGACTCACTATCTTGTAAAAAATGAATGTGGCTGCTAAAATCTTGGACTAATAAGTGATCCACATTAGAAGTAAAAATAGATGCATAATTACAGACCAGGGCTTGTCTTAATTAATCAGCTGTGATTGAAAAGTTAATTACAATATGAATTACCTTTCAGAACGAGGACTGCTTAGTAGTCATTTGAAGCAGCCTGCTTCAATGTAAATGAGCACGATGCAGGCTCACCGGGTCCTAATGTTGCCACTAACATACCATTAACTTGTCATGAATTTTAAAGCGCATCTCTCTGCACGAGCTTTACAAGTGCCCGGCTCCGATCGCCTCCTTGCCGCTTTTAATAAACAATTGACAGAGCTAATAGAGACATGAAAGGGGGAATTTAAAAAGACAAAGAAAGCAGAGTAGGGGCAGAGGAGGGGGCTATAGCCTACTGTGTTCATGCCAGGATTTTATATGGCCGACCTAGACAGCTCATGTGTGCATGTTTGTGTCTGTGCTGGTTGCTTTTGTTCACATGCCCTTGTCTGTATGTGCAGTGTCTTTGCTTTTAAAAAGGGATGGAGCTGGCACTGTCTGTGTTTTTGTGTTTACCATCTACTTCCCTTTGTCTCTCATCATTCATGATACAAGGCGGGAGTAATGAGTTTGGTGGCCTTGGGTGCACACAAGAGCTCAGATACGGAATGAGATGCAAACTCAAGTTGCTGTAGGAACCTTGTGCTACTTGTAAATGTTGTGCAGATGAAGCATAAATTAAATGCCTGATTGCAGAAACATCACAAATGCTTGAGTCGTCCTGATGGACACTGTAAGTTATCAGACCAGTGATTGATGTAATTTTGTTAACCGGGATTTCATTCACCTAAACTTTTGGTAGAAGCTTCTGAAAAAGTCAACAGGACATCTGCAATAATATCCCTTACTTTTGTCAATATTGGTTATAAAACTGTGCTCAGAGTTTTGGTACCAACAATAATACTGTGATTTATAATGTGCAGTGAAGGTAATATTGGAACATATAATTTGGGGCAGTGTTGAGACTCAACAAAACTGAACATGGAAACACCTAAAACTGGTGGCACCTCTAAACACCCCATGGAGTGTCAAGTTGTGAGGATGCTTTTCTTCAGGAGCAAAAGAAAAACTGGTCAGAAAGAACAACACTACACTAACATGGCAAAAATACTAAGATTAATTAACAATCTTGAGACAGTCTGTGACATTCTGAAAGTCTTCATGCATCTTCATCCAAATAGGTATGTTTTTTAATCTAAATGTCAATTTTTAAACTAATCTTTTTATGCTAATTAACATATAATAATTAATGCTTTTGCTTACACATAAATATTTCAAATAATGTATAATGGAAAATTAATACATTCTTCAAACAAAGGCTTTCTTGTCTACCCACTCTACATTGCAATGCCTGTGACAATAAATCAAATTATTTTGTTATCTGAAAAAGACACACCATCACCTGAGGTGCTCTGCATATATTTTATGCATAACCAATAAACTGACTGAAACATGACAGGCTGAGGAATTAAAACAGACAAACCGTATGATGAAGATGATCCAAGTGGCGTGATTAATTTTACTGAAACCATCTGGCCAAATTAACTGAACCCAAGGTAAGAAAACATTCTCACTTTTGAGTGATGGGGAAGTGAAGTTTCATTTGTCATTAGAAAGGTCTCCTCCTTGAATTAACATGCTGGCCTTTCAGCTTCAGATTTGACCTCTAGCAGTGGGCAGAAAGGTTTATGGTGTCCTTTACACCGTTTCATAATTCCTGATGAAAGCTTTACAGAAATTACTTTATCTTTGTAACCAGTTTTTTCAATATACTCAGGTACACTGTGGCATTTTGGTACTAAAGTTGCCACAGTGTAGTGAGAAAATAACCCACCACCAACCTGACCCATTAATATGAGGACTTATGCTTCCCTGATGTTTACAGCAATGTCTGACTGTTTCTTCTGAATGTGTAATCTGAAACTAACTTATTGGACCGACCAGGGGTTTTCCAATCTGCTCCTGCCAAGATTTGGTGAGCCTCTATGTGAAATGTAACCTCAATTTCCTATTTTTTCTTAACAGGAGTTGCACCATGTGTGGTCTTCTCCTTCTGTAGCCCTTAAGATTGAACATTAATGTGTTCAGAGATGGTGTTCTGCTTACCTTGCCGTTAAGGAGGGTTGTTTTTTTTTTGAGTTGCTGTTTCCTCTCTGTCAAACCAGTCTGCCCAAGAAGGTATTCCTGACCACACAACAGTGACCCACTGAATTGATTCTTTTTTTCCCCAGACCATTCTTGGTAAAGTTTAGAGATGGCTGTGAATAAATATTCCACTTGAACTGTGTCTGGCACCAACAATCACCTAAAATTTAAAGTAACTTAAATCCATCGAGGCATTCTCACTGGTTCTTCAAACTTTAATCTTGTTATATACAGCAAACACCTCTTCCTGGCTAAGGTTTCTTTTGA